CCCCCCACAACTCCTGCATGAGAGTTACACATTTGCCAAGCAGTATAATGTCAAAGGTTAAACCATTATTTTTTTTCATGTCTCTGTGATTCTGGAGCACTCTGCTGCCCTTGTGTACTTCACTATCTCACTGCTGTTATTGCTTTGTCCCTCCTTGGCCTTTGTTTTTAAAGCTCTGTGCATGTTATACTGTAAATGTCACTACAGTACAACAGGCTGCCCTACCACAGTCCTCTCCCCTCAGACAGTGTCTCCTCTGCATGCCCTTCACCTGTACTACCAGACAATGTCTAACCCTGTCAGCCTGTCTCCCAGTCTCACTGGCTTTCAGCTTGCCCTTTCCTCATCCCAACATTACAGGAAACAGCCTCCATTCAATGTTGTTGCCTTTTCCAAACAGATATCATCACCACGTCTGCCCTTTTCTAGTTCTGTACTCTCAGAAAATAGAAAGCCTGGCTGAGGAACTTGATATTACCAAACAATGGTGCAGATTAGACAGAGGAAAGATGGAAAGGCAACTGCTCAGGTGTCATGTTCACACACAGGGAGAAAAAGGCTGGCAGAAACAATCAAATGATACATTATATGGGGAAGTACAATTGTGCCAAATGTCTAACTCGTTCTCACAGGAAAAATATGACACTGACCCACCCAAGGTCAAAAGTTCTACACTTCAGAAGGAAGCCAAATTGAACTCAAACAAAAGTCATTGTAATTTTTGTACTCATCTGATGGTCATGGATATTGGCCAGAGAAGTAAGTAATTTTAAGCTAAACCTATGAAGCTGATATTTTAGTACTGGTGTATAAATGTTTTGTCTTCATCCTTTTGTGGGATATTTGATAGGACTTGGTAGATTACTGGTTTATGTCATATACAAGTACATTGTAAACCAAATTATGATATTTTCTTAAATATAACCAAGTTATCCCATATGGAAAAGATATATATAAATCTTATAACGTTTGTATCTGTCTTGTGTGAAACTTGTATGAAAAACATACAAGAGTGAAAACACATATAAGATCCCTTGAAAAATTATATAATGAAACTTGTATGTTTTGGATACTTACTAAAACAATATATGAAAGTAATGAGAAAGTGGCCACTTTCATTAGTAAATCATATAAGTTTTTACTATTTCTTTTCCATATGGGATTTAGTGCCTAAACCTTACCTAACAGTGAGTAAACTGTTAAACTGAACAGTGACTGAAACCGAAAAGAAACAGTAAGCAGCAAAGTATAAAAACTCCACTACTGACTAGATTATATATAGTGTTATATATAAAACACTCAAATCTAAGGAATTTCATTCCTTCAAACACAATATCGTAAAAAGGTAGTGTAAAATGACAGGCATCAACTATTTTTCTACACATCTCATCTTTATGTCTAGCACTCTAAATAAATATTCTTCTGCTTTTCAGCCATTAAAAATCAAGACTTTTTGCAGGCAATCTAAAATCAATCTACAATCACTCTAAAATCAATACCTCAATTGCTGAAACCGTTACAGAACTTTTTCCAAGATGATTTTTTTTACTGCTCAAGGGACAGCTCTCTATGTCCTTACAAAGAGGGATGAGTGTTGCGGTCTGAATAAACTTGCTATATTTTGTGTGACGCTGATTGCGTGCCCTTTAACCTCAGACTATCTTTGGCTACTCTGAAATCAGCTGAGGTTGTCCGGCTGGCCACTTAACCCTGGGCACTTACTGTCATATCTATGCCATTAGCAAGTGCCTGAGTAAGAAGGACACAAAAGAGCATCAAACTTCTCTCCATCAGCCTTGGTATGGTTCTGTCTACTTTTTCAAAATTCTCTCCTTCCATTAGCACCAAAGTGACAGATCGAGCTTTAGATTACCAGTGCAAGAGAGCAGCTGGCTGACACACATTACGCCATATTGCTCTTGCTGTATTATGTTGAGACATATTATGCCAAGACATTATTCACATGAATAAGTGAACAATTCCCCATGTCAGTATGACCTCAGATTATGCTATTTGATATAAAAGCAATCTTGTGTATGCACACACACACAGGTGACATGATACATTTTCCTCATAATGTTTACTGATGCACAGCCGGTGGTAATGCATCAACAAATGTAACATATTCAGGGAGGAATGATGCCACCTTGTAAGTGCTAATATTTACTAATAGCCACTTGAGGTATTGCAAAAAACAAAAACAAAAAAAACAAATCATTGAAAAAACCCATTTTCTCCTTTTATAATTAAAAAGCCTTTTAAAAAGCATTCAGGTCACTCTCCCTCTATCATGTTCATAAATGTAATTTTTGTGATGTCATCACCAATTAAAGGCTTAGTGGAAATCTGATCTGTGGGTGGGCCCAGGAGGATAAAAAAACTTTCACTGACTATTGATTATTTCTGATAAAGGCTCATCAAGCAGCCAACATCTTTTAGAGCACAGTTGCTTCTTGCTATCTGCCTTTTTTTAAAATTTATCCCATATCATCCTGGATAGTGTTTTTCCAACAGCAGTTTAACAGCATGTGAAGAGTGAAAGATGAAAGTGAAAGACCATTGAAAAGGGAGTTGCAGGTGGCTCACGGTCAAATACCTTCCTTTATTGTAACCATCATCACGGCTGTCAGCTCTTTGATTATTGTGATTTTAGCCACAGTAAAACTAGCATGAAAGATGAAGCATTAAAGATTAAAAAAAGAAACTAAACAATTGTCCATGAAACAAGGAGTGTTTGACAAAATAAACATAGATGACTTGCTTAGCTAATGAATGACCTATTTTTTTAATGCCTGTTGCATGCTGCACGTGAGCAGATGCAGTGTTTATTAATAAAGTTGAACTGCATGTTAATCTTCTCAAATGCACACCTTGAGAAAAGAGGACAGAGCTTTCTGTCTTGTCTGCTTAGTAACAGGTGTGGAGAAAAAAAAGTCCTGCGCTAAAGGAAGCTATTTTCTTTTCTAT